TCACACCTGGATAAAGAATTTTGCTTTACAAAGCACAGGTTCGGCCTCGCATGGAGTACTGTTACCACGTCATGGAGTACTTTCATTAGACTACATAAAGAAGAGAGCCATTCGGATTATTGATAATCCCATTCTCATGGATTGTTTGGAACCTCTGGGTCTGTAGAGGGACTTTGGTTCCATCTGTATTTTGTACCGTATGTTTCATGGGGAGAGCTCTGAAGAATTAAGGATTGAATTGAGATGATACCATCATTTCAAACAATACCATTGCACTGCCCGCCTCCGGAGTAGAGTTCATCCATATTATGTGGAGCCAGCGTACATCCAGTGTTTTTCCAGAGATATTTTTTGCGACGTACCATCCAGCTTCGGAATGAGTTCCCCTCCACGGTGTTTACCAAGTTCTTCTTCAAACGAGGCTTGTAGAGAGTATTAGACAGTAGGCAACGCTGATGTCCATGAGTGACGTTAACCACTCACCATCAGGTGGGCCATCTGCTCATCTACCGGCAAGGGCAGTAAAAAAAGAAAACTACAATAGCATTCATTGGTGGTAGAGGATATTACAGGTAGGTATTACTATCCTGCCTATTTTTGTTACAAAGTATTCATGCATTCTGCTTTGCGGGTTGCAACCACTCTTATATGATTTCAAATTTATGTCATAAGTTGGGTGGTAATATTAACAATGTAATAACTGGGCTCTGGTGACTTCTTTACTCCAGGTGGACTTGTTCACTCATACACAATAAATAAATAAAATAGAAAAAAATGTCCATTAACTTACTTCCCCTGGAACACTAATAGACCATCAACAAGTCCTTCGAGGCACAATAAGTCATATCTGTTGGCTGGGATGTCTATTCTGTACAGAATCTCATCAGATAATTCAGCATCTGCTTGGTCACCTTGTTCTTTAATTAACATTTGTTTCTCCGTAGTCTGAAATTGGTAGACACACATTAATATCGCCACAAATCCTTTCTTCAAGCTCTGAATTCAAGATAATACATTTACGTATATTTTTCAAGGTAAATCATTATTTTAATTATTACAATAAAACTAGGTTTCAGATCATTATTTCGTTTTTTTTAATTTAGTGGGTCTTAAAATGGGTACTCACAACTTCATCAAGCTCTAAGCCAAATTTGAAACATAGGTCTTGAAATTCTTCATCAGCTGAAATGTTTCGATAAAAGCATTTTAATTTGAATTAAAATTAAACTCATTTTTTTACAAAATATTCTCATACTGTACGTAGAACCGAGGGCGGCGAAAAGCGCATCGCGCTTTAAAGAAATTGTGGGCATTTTATTTGATAAAATTATTTAAAATCGAGTGAGTAGACCATATGTGAAATATGTCAGTGCTGCGCTCAGTGTTGTCAGATGACCGTGTGAATTTCCCCCCAACTTTTTTCGAAAACCCCCCGAAAATAGGCTTTTTGAAGAAAAAACCCCCAAAATAGTTTTTACTTATTTTAAAGAAGAAATAAAAAACCAAAAGGATTCTTTTATTTTTTAATCAAGCTATCCCTATAACTTCAACCATCTCTAAACAATTATCACGATCATATTCACTTTCGTTATTATTATTTAAAGCATACTCGTTTTCGAAGTTAAAGATATTTAACATGTCCGATGTGGGAACAAAATTTATGCATCTATTTGGCAGTGAAAATCGAATCCTGAGAACCGCTTCGGCAGTTTCTATTGCTATTTGGTTGCATAATTTGTCCTTTATAATATTGANTCGTTATTATTATTTAAAGCATACTCGTTTTCGAAGTTAAAGATATTTAACATGTCCGATGTGGGAACAAAATTTATGCATCTATTTGGCAGTGAAAATCGAATCCTGAGAACCGCTTCGGCAGTTTCTATTGCTATTTGGTTGCATAATTTGTCCTTTATAATATTGACTTGTGAATAGTATAGTAGACTATAATTATTCTAATAATAATTGCAAATTGATACTCAAAAAACCTCCGAAATTTCTCCCAACTAACTTTTTCTCCCCGAATGTCCCCCCAAAGAATCTTTCCCCCGAATTTCCCCCCCAAGGTCGAAAAACCCCCTGAATTTGCAGGGAATCCCCCCCATCTGGCAACTGTGGCTGCGCTCTTCCAAAACCATAGATATTTTTTTTTGGTACAATTTTTCCTTATTAGGAAAGGCAAGGGCATCTAAGCCCATACAGCCTTGTCTGTTCTAAAACCATAGATAATACAAATTCTATTTAAGAGTTTTTCTGACCTGGTAACTAAGACCTTTAAATCATATCAAATTTTAATTTATAAATATTCTTATTGTGTTAATGAAAAATAATAATATGGAGTGAAATGAAATGAAGAAGATTAACTTTAGACATTAATCAACTGGGATGAAATTAAATGAAATGATATGAGATGATATGGGATGAAATATAATCTCAGTAAAATGGTGGTCATTTACTGAGACTTTTTCAGTGGACTTTTTGGAGGACCTCTAGAAGTTACGTCCAGCGGTTTTGTTTCATTTTCCCACATATGCGCACTTTGACAGATATTAAAGAGTTAATAAGCCACCGTTATTTTATTACATATTTAAACCTGAAGAAACACTAAGTAGACAAAGTAAAACAAATCACAAAACTTCATTCCTCGCGTTCCCGCCAAATAGTCAGATAATACAAAAAAGCACCACAAATCACAGATAATAAGGGTGACAGTTCAGGGCAGGGATGCTAGACAGTGTCTATATCTAATGATAAAATTGATTTAAAATAAGGCTCGACAAAAAGCTGCAGTAATTACCGTCTCATAGCGTTGATTCCACACGCATGCAAGATATTGCTGCGTATCGTTAACGAGCGCCTTAAATCGTACCTCTCTAAAGAAATTGCTTCTGAACAGGCCGGCTTTGTGAAGGGTAAAGGCACACGAGAACAAATATTAACCGTTCGACAGATCATCGAAAAATCCCGGGAATTCAACAAGCCTACGTACTTATGCTTTGTGGATTTCTCTAAGGCGTTTGATTCTGTCAAATGGCCAAAACTTTGGGAAACTCTTTTGGCCATGGGTACCCCCAAACACTTGGTCCATCTGCTGAGGCGATTATGAGGAAGGAACAGCTTCAGATAGAATAGATGACATTCTATCGCGTCACTTCCACCCTAGCGCAGGAGTTCGCCAAGGGTGTATTATATCACCGCTCCTGTTCAATATATATACGGAGCTTATAATGAGAATCGCCCTCGAAAACTGGTCGGATGGAATAACTATCGGAGGTCGGAAGATTTCAAATCTTTGTTATGCAGACGACATTACTTTAGTCGCGTCAGGTGTTAGCCAGATGGAAGAGTTACTCGGTAGAGTGGAACGCGTCAGTCATGATTGTCGACCGTGCTAATAATAACTCGCCAGAGGTCACAAAAATTGCGAACTGCGATGTCGTACAGTCATACATTTACTTAGGTGCATTGATATCGAATACTGGCGGGTGCGTTGATGAAATCAAGCGGCGTATGGCTGTTTCGAGGTCAGCCATGGACAGGCTGAAGTAAATATGGGGGAATCGAAATATCCCTAAAGCCACTAAAATCAGACTTGTAAGAGCACTGGTCTTCCCCATTTTTCTTTATGCTGCTGAGACCTGGACATTGAGAGAAAGTGAGAAAAAGAGGATAGGTGCTCTCGAAATGTGGTGCTGGAGAAGAATGCTGCAAATATCGTGGACAGAGTCCAGAACGAATCAGTCAATTCTATAGGAACTCGGCATCAAGCAGCGACTATCCTCCATCGTTCAGGGTCGCATTCTCACTTTCTTTGGGCATGTGTCGCGGCGAGGTGACGACTCAGTTGAGCGCCTTGTGGTGCAGGGCATGATAGAAGGTACAAGACCGCGCGGCAGATCACCGTTATGATGGACCGACCAAATAAAGGCAGCTCTAAGCGGTCCCGTTAACGAGTGCACAAGAAGGGCCGCGGTACGCGAGGAATGGCGACGTCTGGTGAAGCGCATCACCAACCGAAGTGATGACCACGACCACTCTGCCAAGAGTACATACGACTGAGAAGAAGATAAGTATTATTAATGAGAATGCGTTTATTTTTTGTTTTGCTGGGTAGAAAACACAGAAAACACTAAAAACAGATTTTTGCGATATTTTTTTTTGTGAATCTATTATTTAAACCATTGATTCGGATTGATACAAAGATCGTTTTGTGTTGCAAAAATTTCCATCCCTACTAATGATTTTTACTGCCAAATGGTTTCGTTGATTTTCCTCTTTTTTATATTTTCCCACAAAATTTGACAGCAAAAAATGTAAAATGTTTTGTTGTATTAGATTAACAATAGAAATTACTTCTCCAGTACAACACCTAGGTAATACATAAAAACATACATACGAAAATAGTTCGTTAGAAGATGAAAAGTACTCAGGGAGCTGAACGTGTAATTCCTTTTCAGTTCGACAATAAAAGTTTAATAATTAAAACTCCACGCAGGAAAAAAAAACGTTAGATTTTTTATTACCTCTATAGACAAACAGGCAGTACACCTGATGTGCTGAGTGGTCACCATCACTCATTGACTTTAGTAATGCAAGAGATACAGCCATGCCACTTCCTACCTCTCATCTAGTGTTGTATATATATTTTTTAATAACAGAAATAGTATCAACAGTCAATCCCCTTACTTCCACCAATGTGCTGGGACTGGTGCACATGGCATTTCGGAGCTGCATAAATTAAAACCTCACCAACCTGTCACTCAATGACTTAGTAGTTTCAAATAAAACAGAACTCACCTGGATTGCTAGCTAGCAGTTGTCGATATCACGAAATTAGCTGTCTACCTGCCGTATTTTCAATTAGTTCTTCTAATTTTCAACGCGTTAAATCTAAACGCGTCCTTGACCACGGCAATAATTTATACTTTAAACATTTTCTACCAAATAGGAGATTTACCAAATTCTTGACAGTACAAAATGATCACGTGACATTAGTCTGGTTTTGCAAACGGTGAGTGTAGTGCCTTGTCATCAATTGTATAAGTTTTTGGATGATTTTCTTTCGAATTTTTATTCAAAGTGAGTAAATGTACGATTTTATAAATATTCTGAACGCACATGTCAATTTGTTGCACAGTTGTAAGGTGTTCGTGAAATGTGAGTTCCTAATGTGACGAAACTGTACCTTGTTCCGTGACTAGTGATATGACGCCATTTTCTTCGTGAATGCCAATTACAAAATTTTTGATGTATTTCATGGCTTTCATTAAGTTTAACTCTGTTTCAAATGTACATAACATGTAGTACCTAACGTAAAATTTTCAACTAAATTTGTCATCGTAAAGTCGTTGACTTTATCAATTGCCACACGCATTTTTTGCATGGCACTCTACCTACAACGGCGTTCTTTTTTACTATTTTCTAAAGAAGTTCTTGTACATCATTTTTACCTATAGGAAATGGCGTCTCAGTAACGTTATCTAATGCCCTACCAATAACAAAGTCATTAGTTTCTAATATCAACTTCCTCTTTGTTACAAAAACTACTTATCAGCTAAAATGCACACGTATTCCTTAGGGTTTCTGCTGATATCTATAATTGTTAATAGTGCTTTTAGAATATAAACCAATAAAGTGAAACAATACCTAATTAGTTCACTTTTGGTTTATGTCAACACAGTAGGTATTTTGTTGATGTTATTCTAATGGCTTTGTGTTTAATTGTATTCTAGTGTGGAGTTGTTATAAGTAGTTAAGTCATGGGACTGATATATTAAACGTACTAAAATGTATTTTGGAATACAATAAAATTTAAAGGTTCAATAGATTTAAAACAAGACAGTAATTTTATGCCATGTGTTTTTCAAAAAAGGCTTATACAATTGTAGTTTTTTAATAAAAATAAATAGTGCTTATTATAATCTTAAAATTTATAACTTTATTGAAAACTAACTTTTGCTAATTTAATAAATAATTATAGATTATTTTATTACTTTCAGAACAAATAATCATTAAGAAAATTTAAGAATGATGTGGAACAATAAGCACTCACAATAACAATACATTAATTTTGTTTTACAGATAATGGTAAGTGTGTTATCGTTTGTGGTAGTTTTGTCACGATAAATTAGATAAGGAGAATGCAATGGTTATAAACTTATGATGAAACATTTAAAAATGAAAATTTTCTTCCTGTTCATCTTTTTTTTCAAGTTTTTGAAGTTCTAATGCTCATAGACTTTGTATACACATACATAAAAAACTAACAATTTTTTCTATGACATAATGTAGACATGATACATAATATGACTGTGTTTTAAATAATTATTTATTGAATGTAAAGTGTTAGAGAGATGAGACTTAGAGTCCAACAAAATTCTGTTTCAAGAAATTTTAGACCTTTTTATTGAAAAAAGTTTTCTTCAGTTTTCTGGCTGGTTATAAGTATTAAACTCTTAAGCACTTTTCAAGTTTATTCACCTAACTATTAGTTATCTGTTGCTTAGTTAGTTGCATAGAGATACCAAACAAATATATATAGTGTTAGTAGTCACCACAAATTGTTACTAAAATAGTTAACCTGAAACCTTAAATAACCTTATTTACAATGAAGTATGGATGTAAGGTGATTGAGAGTTTCCAGAATCGTAAATTAGTTTAGAATCTTAAATTTGACAACAACATGGCCAGTGCTATCCATATCGCCATGAATCCAAATACAAATAATTACGAAATTTGGGAAATTATTTGAATTTTTTGGTGTGTTGCATTTTGGAACATGTTTCATGTTATTTTCCAGTGAGTAATATAGTTTCCAGTGAGTATATAATGAGAAAATAAGTCTAATCATTCATATTTGTCTATCTCTCTTTCTCTCTGTGTGTGTGTGCGTGTGTCTTTGTAGGTATGGATGAGCTTTCCAGTACAGAATTCAGCAGAAGTTCTTGACAAGCCCAAAACAAGCCTAGTAGGCTATAGAGAAATTATATTGGAATAATGCTCCCACTATTACAGTAATTAACTAACTACATATTTATTTTTGATTACTTTATAAGATCATGGTATTTGTTTGTTTTTATTGTATGGCCCTTATCAATGTTAGTTCAGTACTCAACAATTTGATCATGACCACTCACACCTCATGATTTACATTGACTTTATGTATGCATTATTATATTATACTTTACTTACTATAATATTATGCATTTTCTGTTCTGTTATTGACATTTATCTATTTAAATAAAGTCTGATTTAGACCAAAATCTTTTAAACATATATAAATTACATCAATGAGTCATTCAATCAGTCTTTTAATACACAGAGTGAATAATACTATATAGTGTGCTAATATTTTACAAATGTCATAATGTCTTAACTATTAAGAATAAAAATTAGTTGCATTTTTCATTTAACTAATTAAATTAATGTTATATTACATGTCATTGTGTGAACATAATCACAAATTATATGTACTGTAATTTCATGAATTATAAAACGAAAACATGTTTGAGGTTCTACTGAAAAAGTACCTTATTCATATTTTAAATTAAGTCCATTGTAAATTATCTATTAAAATAGGTTATAAAACCTAATTAAGATCACAATTCTTATATTATGAATTAAATTCACAAAGGATACGTAGTTGTTTATTCTATGATGCATTATTGAGCATAGTTTTGTATTGTAACAGGTTTTGTAACCATTCATTGTGATGCCGGTGGATGCTGACTACAACCGCACAGACGTGGTGTCGCTTGTTTGTGAGCTGAAGGGACTGCGCACTTGGAAAGACATTTGTTTGGTTCGAAACTCTCTTTTTCAACAACAGGTATGTCATAAAATAAATATACAAAAACTACATGTCAAAAGGTTTCTAGGAAAATGGATAAAATGGAAACTTTAAGCAATGGTGTAACAACTTAAACCTTAGTTTGATTGTAGAGCTTGATTCACTAATAATTTTGTTGACTAAAAAACTTATGACAATGAATGCATCCTTATTACATTGTTTAGTTCCACGGCTGTGTGGGTTCTTTAATTTTCGAAATAAGAGAAATTACTAAAATTTTGGTCTGGAGAATGTATTCACAGCATAGTATAAAAAAAAGTCGCTTTCTCTGTATCTGTCTGTCCCTATGTATGCTTAAATGTTTAAAACTACGCAACGGATTTTGATGCGGTTTTTTTTAATAGATAGAGTGATTGAAGAGGAAGGTTTATATGTATAATAACATCCATTAAATTGTGGAGAAATCAATAATAAATTACAGTTTCCGAAGTGAGGCGAGGGCGGGTCGCTAGTTGTTTATATAGTTAGAAGTCGTCGTGGCCTAAAGGATAAGACGTCCGATGCACTCGTGTTGAGCGATGCACCGGTGTTCGAATCCCAGACGGATATCAATTTTTGTAATGAAATAGGTACTCAACAAATGTTCACGATTGACCGCCACGGTGAAGGAATAACATCGTGTATTAATATATAAAAATGAATTGCTGTTCGTCAGTCTCGCTAAAACTCGAGAGCGGCTGGACCGATTTGGCTAATTTTGGTCTTAAATTATTTGTGGAAGTCCAGAGAAGGTTTAAAAGGTAGATAAATATGAAAATGCTCGGAATTAAATAAAAATAACAATTTTGTTATTCCTTAGATGTGTCCCCCGTCGGATGAATTTCTTTTGTATGTTTTAAGTTTATTTTATACAAAAGTTTAGGTCATTTATTTATCAATTGAGGCACTACGAAGTCTGCCGGGTCAGCTAGTCGTGTAATAAAAATCAAAACAGCAAAATTATAATTTGCGTAATTACGGGTGGTAGGACCTCTTGTGAGTCCGCGCGGGTAGGTACCACCACCCTGACTATTTCTGCCGCGAAGCAGTAATGCGTTTCGGCTTGAAAGGTGGAGCAGCCGTTTTACTTGAGACCTTAGAACTTATATCTCAAAGGTGGGTGGCGCATTTACGTTGTAGATATCTATGGGGTCCAGTAACTACTTAACACCAGGTGGGCTGTGAGCTCGTACACCCATCTAAGTAATAAAAAAAGGACAAGGCTGTCTAAGCTACTTAGTTTTGCGGGCTAATAAAATTTCCTCCAAACCCGGAGGGCTGCAAAAAAATATACATATTTTCAAAAACAAAATACTTTCCGGGAATTCCTCCAATAATAGTAAAAGAGAGCTTCACTTTTAAATGATGTCATGGGAATCGAATGTTACAAGAATAAAGATAAATTGTACCAAATATCGAATTGTTAAGTCGTCGTGGCCTAACTGATAAGACGTCCGGTGTATTCGTGTTGAGCGATGCTCGAATCACCGGTGCTCGAATCGCAGGCGGGTACCAATTTTTCTAATGAAATACGTACTCGACAAAGGTTCACGATTGACTTCCACGCTGAAGGAATAACATCGTGTAATTAAAATCAAACACGCAAAATTATAATTTGCGTAATTACTGGTGGTAGGACCTCTTGTGAGTCCGCGCGGATGGGTACCACCACCCTGCCTATTTCTGCCGTGAAGCAGTAATGCGTTTCGGTTTGAAGGGTGGGGCAGCCGTTGTAACTATACTTGAGACCTTAGAACGGTGGGTGGCGCGTTTACGTTGTGGATGTCTATGGGCTCCAGTAACCACTTAACACCAGGTGGGCTGTGAGCTCGTCCACCCATCTAAGCAATAAAAAAATAATAATATATATTTTGACAAAGAATTCTATTATGGAAATTATTCTATAAGTAACTATTATTATATTTATATCCACAACTATTTTCTGATTAAAAACATGCGTCGCGGGCCGCGTGAAAACAAGCCGCGGGCCTATTAGTGAAAACCCTATAAAAATCGGTCGTGTTTTTGGATGGAAGAAGTAGCGGAGAAACAAACAGATAGCCACTTTTATATGCTACTTGGAGATTTATCTCAAGAGTATCGAATACGTTATTTACGAATAAGGTGGTCGCTTCAACGACATTTTTCATATTAAATTTTTAATGTATTATACTACACCCCTGGTTTTTTTTTCACTTTTTAAAGCAATAATAAGGCTTGTTCCATCCTTTAACTATTAAAGGATGTCGAAGGTTTCTATATTACATATCATCGCAGTATGTCTTCTGACACAGTATAATGGATGATTTTGTAACAGTGAAAAAGAATTTTAATGATGAAATAAAGAGTCTATAGACATGTTCAGTATTTATCTCGGTTTCATAGTTGATCATTGAACAGACTATGAAAGTAACTAAACATGCGATTGCCAAGTAAATTGATTCGCGCGCAGGTGCGCAGTCACAAAACATGTGACGAGAAACTGCGCACTTATTTCCGAAAACACGTGGTTATTTATGAATTCACAGTTTCTGGTCTGTAATCAGCACTTAGTGCGGTAAACAAAGTAATACTAAGAAAGTCATATTTATTGAGAATGTAAATATCGTAGAGTGAGTTTTCGAGAGTCGCGAGATGTGTCGCGGAGGCGGAGGCGGGCGCGTGCGGCCGTCTCAAAGGTCACCGCCCCGGCCCAGGACTAATTCGGGGGAGATCGACGACTTGCCTCGTCGCGGCTTTGTCTCCGTCCGCCAGCTCCCCAAATGACTTGCGACGCACAATCTCACAAACATGTCTTTGTTTGTCTTCAGTCTGTTCCCAATAAGTGGTTCTCCCGCCAATAAAATCCCAGTCATATGTTTTGACGACAATTTCGAAAAGTATACAAAGGCCTTTGTACCTTAACTCACTAGTTATTATCGTTTATTTAAGCACAAATACAGCTCCCGTATCGCCCACACGACGCTACGTATTGTAGTTAAAGGTTGATGCCCGTCGACACTTGAATATTGATGATTACTGTTATTTTCACTTTCAATAACCAGTACATTGCACTTTTGTTTTTAATTCCCAAAAAGTTGATCGCGTATATTTTCTTTTTATGTTTCGTTGTTTATAATGTAAAATCAATATGAATGTACCAAATGTCTACAAAGTATAAAAAGTCGCTGTCCGTTTTTGAAGACAGAGCTCCTCTTCTAAACTAGACAGACAACTGATTTCGATAGGATTTTCACTAATAGAAAGAGCAATAAACGAGAGGAAAGTTTGAATATATCTGAAGTAGTTGTGACTAACATTTTCATGTTCACAAATGACTTTCTCAATGAAGGAATAAAATCATGTAATCAAAATCAAACCTATAACAAATATAATTTGCATAATTACTAGTGGTGGAACGTCTTCTGAACCCGCACGGATAGGTATCACCACCATTTCAATTTCTGCTGTGAAGCAGTTAGTAATGGAATTCAGTTTAAATGGTCGGGCAGCCGTTCTACTGACTGAAAACCTGAGACTTAGAACTCATAAAATATATCAAGGTGGGCGGCTGCATTTACGTTTTTTATATCTATGATTTTCGGTAATCACTTAATAGTAGGAGGGCGGTGAGCTCGTCCACCCACGTAAGCACAAACAATAATCTTGTAAATATATTTGACAAAATGGTTGAACTATGATTCTCAGGCCGTAAGCAACTTCGTATGCTCACATCGCTAACGCTGGGCAAATCTTAAGAGAAAGTGTTCATCCACACCTGCGAAAAGATAGTTAATACATTTATTTAATAAGAAACATGTTTAACTTGAACAACACTGAGTAGTGTATCATTCGTAAGTCACATTTCTGATCCAAGTCAGATGAATTAAGTAGAAACGAGAAGTGAACAATTCTTAAAACTTTGTGTGATATGATGATTCATATAACATAGCTGACGCATGCGTAATTTCTTTGAATTTGTATGTTATTTAGGTACATTCGGTACAGACCAACAAATGATTTAGATTCTTTGCTCGAATGTACAACGATATCTGGAGCAACAATTTTTTGGTAAATTAGTAATTATTTAGTAATTTGTGGTTAAAACAAAATGCTTTGTGTAACGAGATGGCGACCACTACGCACGAATATGTTTATCATCTAGCGACCCGTGTGTTGTTTGTATTGTTGAGTGCGTGAGTAGAATGGAATGACGCGAATAGTTAGTTGCAAGCCGCGAGCGTCGCTGCTCTAGAGGAGAGTGCTCATCGTTCAGTCAGTCCTCGCTAAAACGTCGAGCGCGTCGGAGCTCATTCAAACGAGGCCGATAGCAAATATTTGAGTGCCGTTTTCGTCACTAGTTGCGACTAATGTACCTTATCGAGTCAGATAATAGTGCGAATTAGTGCGCGTTTGTTTCCTCCATTTGTGGCAGTGATATAGTGTTGTTTCTTAGTTCGAGAACAGCGTAGATACTACGTGGCCATGGGCTTGTGTTACCACACAAAGGTTTGTATTTTACTGTGGTTTTCTGTGTAAAATACTTAAGTGCATTTGTAGTTCGAGATGTGTCCTTGCGAGACTATTAAAACCTAGACTAGACGAGGCTGTTTGAAGGCCGTCCGCGTCGACCTTGGTGTGACAAGGTTAACGGCCCCATGTGTAACTTTCATGTCATTTATTCAGTTATCTAGGCGAGGTTTAACACAGGGTTCATTAGTTAATTTAATTTTATTTCATTCGAGTTAATATATTTCATAAATAAAACAAAAACGATAACCAAGTACAGGAAATCAATTATTGCTAAAAAAAAATATTTTCGAAATAAATACAATATTGAACGTCAACTGTGTTGTGATTTCCGTGATTTTAATGTAGTTTAATTGTACAAAATCGATGCTATAAATGTCTTTTAATTAAAGCGAAATAAAATACAATGGACCTATTTTTTTTTTTTTAAGTTTATATACACGTTAATTTCGCTGGTGAATATCAGTCAAGCCATGCTGTATGAAAAATAT